TAGCTATGAATATCAAAAAATACTTTGCTAATACTAAATAGATCCTGGTAATGGCACTGGGAATTTGCAATATAAGTCGTAAATAAGGATTCTTGAAACCAAAGAGATTTACTTTAAGGGAAAGCAAAAACAGTCTAAAATTAAACCATCTTTTCAAAGTCTAAGAGTTTGCGCATAAGAGGTGAGGGTATTTATGGAGAGTGGGAAAGTAAATGTGTTGTAGAGATTTCACAGTTGGTCAGTGGAGGAGCTAGTAAACAAGGTGTCTTGGTTGGGAAGTATAGAAAAAGTATAAAAGAAAAATATTAAGTTTAATTATGGCTTCTAAGGGTAGAATGTAACTGATAGCAGAATTATAAAAAGGGTAGAACTTCCAAATCAACAAAAATGCAAGAAAAATAAATGTGGCCCATATTGGCCAAGTGAGGAGAAAGAGGAAGCAAAACTTCAAATTATCTAGAAACTAATGAAAAGATAAATATTTTATTCTAAAACTTAAGAGGCACAACTAAATGTGTATTCAAAAAAAAAAAAGTAAGCCAGGCACAGTGGCAGGCACATGCCTATGATCCCATCTATTTGAGAGGCTGAGGCAGGAGGATCACTGGAGCCAAGGAGTTTGAATCCAACCTGGCCAACATAGTGAGACCCCATCTCTATAATAAATAAATAAATAAATAAACAAAAGAAAAAAAAGTATAGTCTTAAATTTTTTATTAGTTAAAAAAGGAAGAAAAACAGAGGAAAAAATTTAACTTAAGAAACCATGAAAATATCAATGTAAAGAAAAAGAAAATAGAAGTATGTAAGGAAACATGAAATTAAATAGAAGAAAAATTAAAAAGAAAAAAATACAAAAAACGAAAACTGATCCTTTAAAAAAATCAATTAGATAGATAAGCCCCTGGAAGACTGATTAAAAACAAAAGAGAAAATGTAAAAATGTAGCCTATTAGGAATAAAAAAGGAATAAAATTGCTCATACAGAGGAGAGTAAAAGAATGAACATAAAATTGTGCCATAAATTATGGTACATTAATATAATACGATATTAAGCAACCATTTAAAAACATTGGTTTAAAGCATCAACCAAGAGGAAATGTCTATGACTTAATGTCAAGCGAGAAATACAAGGCATGAAATAGAGTATGAAATTTATCCCCATTTTTATAAAAACAAGCAAAGCAAAAACGTTATAAAAACAAGCAAAAACATTATATACAAAACGTAGTAAGCGTATGTAAGCAGAGGGAAAGGTGTTTCCATTGGTCACCTCAAGGGTGTGGGGGAAACTCTACATTCTCTCCAATGTGTTAACTGGCTACAAAATATATCATTTTGTAATTGTCAAAGCCTTTTATAAAGGACAAAAATAAAAGCAAATATATTAACAGTACTATTATGTTCATGCAAAAACGAAATTGGAGTACATTATAGCTCAGCCCAGCGACGTTTAAGGAAGCAGCCCAGCACTCAAGGCCTTCGCCTACACTCGGCTCACGACAGTCAACACAGGACTAGTCTGAGTGCCAGTCACCTCCTGGGCCAAGTGTGGACATTCAAGGCCTGCCAGGCCTTCCCCAGAGCAATCCGATTACCCTAGACGCATCTACTTTCCAAACTGAATACTGCTCTTACTTGGAAAACACTCCTGGCAATTTGTTTAACGTGTAAACATCTCCAGAGTTCATTCGATTTTAAAAGTATTTTTATTTCCTCCTAAAGTTTATAATCACAGGCATTCCTTTTCGTTTTTCATTCTCTGCAGAGAAACTTCTAACTCCCTCTCACAAGAGGCAGGGTGTGTTGCCCACCATTCTAAAGAGAAGAGGTGGCCCATTTTCAGGGTGCCATACCTCCAATTGCAAGGTATTTGCTTTAGCAAAGTTGCCCATTCACAATCATAGGCATTTTTCCTTCCATCTTTGGGTACCTACCAAGAGGACTAGAGCTGCCCCTCAATACCCCTCCCCTTCTGACACAAACTGCCTGATTTAAGGTCAAAGTTGGTGGATTAACACTATGTCCTGCATATATGTGTTCATTGCCATAACGAAAACTCCAGGCCTGTATCAGGTCTATAAAAACTTTCCAATCCTCCATTGCCTTTGTATGGAGTCCAGCACAGAGCATGTTAGCCACTAACAAATGCTTCTAGACTTCTCAGTGCAGGCTGAAGCTAGACATTTTGGTGTCCGGGGTAAGCAACCCTAAAGAAGCCCTCGGGCCCACACAGGTGCGTGCAGCAGGGAGTGAGGGTCTCTAGTCCATCCTCTCCTCCACTGGCCAGGGAGTCTGGTCCCACAGAGCATGTCTAACACCAAGGCCTCGAGGAGAGGAGGGGGGAGAGTTCTGGAGGGACAGGGCAATAACAAGGTCTTTTTTCTTTTTAAATTTTTTTTTATTTCAGCATATTATGGGGGTACAAATGTTAAGGTTATGTATGGGCAATAACAAGGTCTTGTAAGCACTTAAAATAATTATTTTAAGTGTGTGTATCTCCTAAACGTTGATGCTCTAGGACAAGGGTTGGCAAACTTTGGCCCACTGGCCAAATCTTGCTTGCTGCCTGTTTTGGTAAACAAAGTTTTATTGGGACACAGCTATGCCCATTTTTGTTTTTATGTTTTATTTTTATGCCTATGGCTGCGTTCACACTACAACGGCAGAGTTGGGTTGTTGCGACAGAGACATATGACCCACAAAATCCAAAATATTTACTATCTGGCCCTTTACAAAAGTTTGTCAACCTCTGCTTAGGGGCAAAACCAGGCAATCTGCTCTGGCAATCATTAAAAACAAACGCATGCACTCATGCCCAGGGAGGAGGGGTGGGGGGGGTTTAAGAACAGGACTAAGGGAGCTTTGGAAATGTCGACCACACCCTCGAAGAAGAAAGAGCTCAAATCATAACCTGATCTGTCACCTTAAGAAACTAGAAAAAGAAGAGTAAACTAAACCCAAAGCAAGCAGAAAAAAGGAAATAATAAAGATTAGAGCAGAAATAAATAGAATAGAGACCAGAAAAAGAATAGAGAAAAATCAAAAAAGCCAAAAATTGGTGTGGTTTTTTTTTTGTTTGTTTTTTTTGCAGACAAACCTTTATCTAGATTGACACAAAAAAAGAAGACTCAAATTACTAAAATCAGTAATGAAAGGGGAGACATTACTACCAACCTTACAAAAATAAAAAGGATTATAAGGGAATCATAAACAATTAATATACCAATACATTAGATAACAGATAAAATGGACAAATTTGTAGAAAGACACAAAGTGACTGAAGAAGAAATAGAATATCAGAATGTGTCTAAATAAGCAAAGAAATTGAATTAGTAATCAAAAAAAAAAAAACTTCCTACAAAGAAAAGCCCAGGACCAGATGATTTCACTAAATTCTACCAAATGTTTAAAGGATGAACATCAATCCTTCACAAACTCTCCCCCACTGCAAAAAAAAAAAAAAAAAAAAAAACATAAAGAGGGAACACCTCCCAACTCATTCTATGAGCCCAGTCTTATCTTGACACCAAAACCAAGCAAAGACATCACAAGAAAATCACAGACCAACATCCCTCATGAATAGGTACACAAAAATCCTCAACAAAATACTAAAAAACCAAATTCATCAACATATCAAAAGGATTATACAGTAACCACACCTTGACCAGGGACTCAAGGCCCAGGTGAGCTTTAGGTGAAGTAGAGGCTCACTGAGACGCCCCCAGGGACCAAGGCAGATGGAAAAGCAGGCGACAAGCAGGGAGGCCGATTGGATGGACTCTCAGGCCATGGCTGCAATCTTATTTTCGAACATCTTTCCTCCCAAATCAGCCCACATGAGGGACATGCTCAATGATCCAGTTTTTTTTTTTTTTTTTTTTTTTTTTTAATAAAGCCAGTCAAATTTAGCAGTGGGGGTCAATGATCCAGTCTTTATCCAGGGGCTTCAGCTTGGTCCTGCCTGTGCTTCTAGAGGCTAGTTTGTTATCTGCCCAGAGGGTGGGAAAATGAGGACTTTGCCCATCTTGCAGCCTGCTTGGCTTATACAAATCCCCAGGGTAGTAAAATGACCACTTATTACTCACCTCTCAAACCGCTATACTTAATGATCTTTCTCCAGCAAGGCAAGTGCTTTTTGAGAGTCCAGTGACACTGTCTACCTTCCCTGTATCTGTCCCAGACACACACACAGCCAGGCACGCACACACAGAGCCTAGTGCTGCTAGAGGATCAGGCGTATTTGTGCTGAAATTCCCTGCCCCTGCTGCCTAAAAATAAAGGAAACAATACTAGTGCTTTCTTTGAGGAGACTCTTGGACTCTTACTTAGACAAATTCTTTCCTTGAACTGTTTTTTCAACCACCCACCACCCTTTGTGCTATCATAAAAATGCCTTTTTCAGTCTAAGAAATGATTACAACGAAGTACTTCTTAATGTCCGTACTTTGTTTCCTCAGCACTAAGTCACTGTCCCAGTGTTTGAGCTAAATAAGCCTTAGGATTGCTGCGCACCTACAGGTTTGCTGAGCGCCTGCCTGCGCCCGGATAGAGCAGCTTCTCGTTAATATCCTCCTTCCCAGACGGAGTCCACACAGGGGCTTCCCGGCTCCCTGTGCAGGCCGCCCAAGCTATCAAATGCATCCGAGAGCTCCAGCTCACTGAGAAGTGCCTGCTTCTAGGAAAGTCTTTGGCACAGGCAAAATGCCCCCCCACCTTCAGCACAAAAGTGTCCCAGGGCCCAGGCCACCCGGCTGCCAGCTGGGCTCCAGCCACTGTCGTGCACAGCCCTTCCTATAACGGGCAGTGAGGATAGTGCTGGCCTCTGCAAGACAGGAGTGGCAGACGGAAAGAGCCCTGGACTGAGGGGTCAGGGCTCTGGCCTGTGGCTTGGCTCTGCCACTGAGACCCCCTCAGAGCCCTCGGCTGCTCACCTGTAACACGGGGTGATCGTCCCCACTCTCAAGGCAGGGGAAGGGCTCTGGGTGTGGCCACCTTACCTGTCCAAACACGTAGAGCAGCCCAATCGTGCCACCTGTCTGCCCGCCGAGCACGGAGGAGATCATGGAGTAGACGCCGCCACTGCCCACGCCGCCACGCTCCCCGACACCGATGCCAGACAGTACGGTGACAAGGGCCACCAGGATCACAAAGGACACCAGAAACATGCCCACGAGCACTCCTGTGTTTCCCTGCAGCAAAACAGCAAGGTGCGAAGTCGAGGTTAGGAGAGATGGCCCCACCAGACAGGACCTCCCCTCATGCCCACAGCCCTGGGATTGGGGTGGGACACAGAGTGGGGCAACTGCAAAAGGACAAAGCAAGTGCCACAAGAGCTGAAGCCCAGAATAAGTTCTAAACGAAGGGAAGTGTCCTGGTTTCAAACTCTCCAATGACTCCCCGTGGCCTGTAGGGTAAAGTCACAGCTACCTGAGATGCTCAGGAGGCGCCTCCTACTCTGTCCCTCTGTGTCCTAGCATGCAGGGACGTGATCTCTCCCCACCACACTCTTCCCCATGCTGAGTCCCTCCTGGAATGCCTTTCCTGCTCGTTCTGCGGCTATGCCAGGTTATTGCAATGCATCCTTTAAGACTCAGTGTCTGGGATTTCCTCCTGCAGGAAGCTGGCCCTGTAACCAGGCCTTGGGTCTCCCCCAGTACCCAGGGCTTAGTACTTTTCACAGTACTTCTAATGCTGAGTCTGCTTCCAAATCAGTTTCTACCTCTGGCTGTGAGCTCCAGGAGAGCAGGATCATGTTGTATCCCTTTCATGCTCTCAGGGCTTAGCACCACCTCCATATAATAGGTGCTCATTAAATGCTTACTGAGTGAATAACCAAACACACACATGCCCAGAGATGTACACCTGTACACAGACACATTTCAATGTGGAAAGCAAGAGTCTTGGAGAGCACACCCCGCCTCAGAAGGGACACCATGCCATGTGCTCTACAATAGCAGGCACGGGTGGCTCCTGGTAGATGAGGCTCCATGGCATTGGGAGTGCTGGAGAGAGAATTGGGAGCAGGAAGAGCCAGCTTAAGAACTGAATGGCCTTCAAACCAGCTGGAAAAGTGTCCCGGGAGTCAGGGGTGCTCTAGTCCCCTGCTCAGGACATGTTCAGGGACTTCACTGCTGGTCTGGGGTGCAGAACGCGGACTGTAGGAGATCAGGGCTGGACAGCTTTTTGTTTTCCCTATTTCCACCCCCCAGATTTCTGCTATCCTATTCCTATCACCTCCTGCTAGTTCATACAAATACTCTCGGAAATATTTGCATTTTAACTCTTCTATTAACTGTGAACTTCATATGGACCAATTTTGGGTTTCCTTTACCCATAAAATCCCCTTCCACTGTAATATTCCCATACAGTAGGCCCATGAGGAGAAAGCCCTTTGCCCACTGTCTCCTCAGAGGCCACTGGGGACACACTGCTCACCTGGCTTGGGATTTACCTGCCAGAGGGCCAACCTGGTAGATTGGAAGAGCCAACACCCTGCATGGTGGCCAGGGAGAAATGGCTGCCGCGAGCTGCACCCTCCCCTTCCTCTGTAGATACCCATGTTTCCCCTCTCTTAGGATTTGTTCACTTATTTTTTGGCTTGAAGTACTGTGGGCATCTTTATTAACTACGTCAAACTCCTTGGAGAATAAAACAGAATATAAATAAAATGTAGATTTATGAATGGCTACACCAGGGTACAACGACGTAGCTGCAACACAGCAGTAGTCCCTACCACCTGCACAAATCTTTGACATTTGCCTCTGACCGTCTGACCTAGAGTGGAGACAAGAAGCAAGGAGAGGGGTCTCCCAGGGGACACTTGGGTCTAGAAAGGGCCATGTGTCCCCAGAGAGGTGAGGCTCTGAGTCCACTCTGCACGCTGAGTGTGAGCAAACACAGCGACCTGCGCCTACCACAGCTTCACCTCTCGTGCTCAGGTTTCGCTTCTGTGAAATGGAGATGACAATGATATTTATCTTGTAGGTTGTCAGGAAATATTACATTTTTAGGAGGGTTAAATACATTTAAAGTGCTTTGAATGCCATCTGTCATATAAGTGCTTGATGAGTCTTAGTTGCCATTATTCCACAGCTTATAAATATTCTGCCTACTCAATTTCCTCTTTAATGGTGAGATGGGACTATAAGGATATCTGTGGGCCCTTGCAGAAAATGACTGCCAACAGGAATGTGGGAATGTGTACAAAAACTCAGCAATTGCCAGATGGTACACAACGCTGGCAGGATTTCTAGGTAGCGGTGGCAATGCACAGTCTGGTGGTGACACTTGGGGATGGAGAAGAACTCACGGGAGTGGATCAAAGGCCCGCCCACCCTCACCCCCACTGCCAGGTACAGAGAGGCTGTCGGGCTGCAGGAGAGCGAGTATGACATCTGAGCATGTTTGTTATTTATTTTGCTGACTTTATATTTTTAATGAAATCATACATTACTGTCTTCTTCCTTTGTTCACCCTTTTCAGTTTTCTGCATATAATAATAAAATGTCTGGTACCAATGACATCTTGCCAGAACTGCCACCTTACCATTTTCCAAATTATAAGTATGCTACCAAATTATTCTTTTGAGTTAATATTTTCTACTTTAAAAATAGTTTTGGCATGACCTCTACTTATTTTAATTTTATGCCATCCCCTGGAAGCTCTATCTTATTTTTGACATTTCACATTTGCCTTTGTTTTCATGATCAAATATGATTTTTTTAGGTAAAACTAATGGCTGAGCTCAAAACTATAGATCATTTGGGGGCAAAAGGATGTATTTGTGTGGTAGATTGCCTCAAAGATAGCCTCCTGGAATCCCGCCTCCTGGCATGGGTACTCTTGCATTATATAATCTCCTACCCTTTAGTTTAGGTTGGATCCAGTGACTCATTTTTTTTAGGTATGCAAATATTTTATTAGTTATTCAAAATGATCACATTAGTTGTAATTTATTGAATAGTTTTTGAAGTGCAAAATGAGACATGTGCACACTTTGATTTTAGGCCACTTGTTTTATCCATGCAGTCATTTTAGTCACTTTTAATGACTAGAATATTTGCATAATTCATGGGCTGCTGCTTCTGAGATTAGGATATAAAAAGACTGTGGCTCCTATCTTGGGCACTTGCTCTCCCTCTCTTAGATTGCTCACCTGGGGGTGGCTGGCTGCCATGTAATGCGCCAACCCAATGAGGAGGCCCACATGACAAGTACCAAGGCCTAGCAGCAACTGCTTAAGTGATCCTAGAAATAGATCCCCCCCATGTTGAGGCTTCAGATGAGACTACAGCCCTGACTGACAGCTTGCCTACAGCCTCCTGCGGGACCTTGAGCCAGAGGTGCCCAGCTAAGTTGCACCCAGATCCCTGAACTGTGGAAACTGTGAGATAATGCATGTGTTGCTTTAAACTGCTAAGTGTTGGGGCAATTTGCTTTGCAGCCATAGGTAACTAATACGACTTGTACTTTCACTTTGGAGATAGAACTGACACTTCTGGATGGCCAAGAGTGACAGAACTTCCCCTGTAGTGGGCCCACAAGACCCTAGCCTCCAGGCCACCAGCTCAGCACTCACCACCAGCCAGCCAGTCCTCAAGAAAAGCACAACCCCAAAAATGTTGATCATGCAGGACGTGAAGACACCATCCCAGGTCCCAAACAGCACTGGCTCCCATACAAACAGCTGGATCTTCCACCAGGGCCAGGGCTGGGCCAGGGCCCCCTGAAAATAGAGCACACAGACATCAGCTGAGGGGCAGTTAGGAGGGCCAGAGAGGGTAGGGGGAGGACACGAAGTGGAGAGTAGCAGAAACTCGTTGTCAACTAGCCTGGGTCTCGTTCCTTCTGGCCACTCAGGTGGACTACATTTCCCAGCCCCTTGGCGGGTGAGTGTGCCCACGGACTGCATGTAGAAGCAATAGTTGACACTTCTACCTGAGTGTGGGATTCTGGGTTCCAGCCCAGCAGTCATGAGCCCTTGTCATCCTCCAGTCCTGGGGGTGAAGGCAGCCTCCAGCAGTCACTAATCTTCAGATAACCTTACTTTATACCTTTTGCTGCTTCAGCCCTTCTAACACCTGTAGTAAACCCTGTGTATCTAATTCCCTCTGTTTAAAATACCTAGAGCAGTTTCCGTTTTCCTGATGGAGCAGGCGATGTGGTGATCTGTAAGCCTCCTCCCCTCCCGACACCCCCACATGCTACAGCGTCATCTGCCAGTTATTTACAATCAAAGGCTAGTTGGTCAAACAGATTCCTTGCTCATGTTTCCAATTCAGAAATAACAAAGGCACTTATAAACATTCAAATGGAAACTTTTAATAAAAAGACTAAAACTTTGTGGAAATACTAAAATGATCTTAAACAAAACCAGTAGCAACTCACACTGTGAATGTTCTTACACAGGTGTGGTAATTAATCTAAACTCAGGCATCTGTAGAACCTTCCAGAACCCTCGGGTACGACAGCAGTGACGAGTGGTTCTCAGCCGCGTGGGGTGGGTGAGGAGGGGTCAGTGTGACTGGTGAGCGCGTGTGGTCCAGAAACACAGTGAGAAGGCGGAAAAGTCAAGTGTGGCGGGAAAGTCTAAGATCCAGGGTCACAGGGGCTGGGCTCCTGTGGCTGAGCGCGGCGCATGCGCCTGGGATCAGGGCAAGGCCAAGGCCCGCCCAAAAGGGGAGGACCCCAGCTCCTCTTCCTCCCCTGGCATCGTAGACCCGCAGACCAAGAAAGGGCCTCAAGAAACAATCAGGGATCTCAACTGAGCCACGTGGGACAGATGGGCCGGGTCTTCCTCGGTGTCCCCCGTCGGTCCCCGACTGTCGTGTTCTCAGCTCCACCAAAGCTTCCTTTATCCATGTCTATTACTGTTTATCCGTCTTTCACAAACCACAGACGAGGAGAGCGCAGTCATCACGGCTCATTGTCCTTGAACAAATGGTACCAAGGGACCTGCTTGGTGAATGCAGGATTGTTTTCCAGGATCCTAATCGCAAAAGTCAGGACATGGCCCAACTTCCCGTCTCTGCTTGTGTTCAACTTCCTACCATGGCTTGTTACAGGCCTATTATTTGTTAGGCACAGTAGTAACAGCGACTGTCAGCAACAAAAAGAGGAATAGTTCAGAGACTGCTCTCAGCGCCCCCGCCGGCTCTCTCCCCGAGGCTCACAGCCCCGTGACTGGGCACGGCGGGGCCCTGCGCGCGCGCTGAGGAAACAGCTCGCCACGCCACGATTCCTGGCTGCCCAAGTCTCGCGATGGCGGGACTTCCATCCCGCACTCCAGGTTACGCGAGCTGTGCTTTCCCTTGCACCACGCTTACCTAAAGGTTACCTGCCCTTTCTCCCCTAAATTTGAGTCTTTTGGGTTTCAAATTGAAATGGACTTTGCATAACTGTAAATACATCTGCTTTAGCCATAAGATGCCCTGGGTGATTTTAGAAACTTTCTCTTTTATCCGCACTGTCATCTTTCCACACTGCAGGCTGGTTTGTCCGTGTCTTGTTCACCTGGTGCAGGGAACACCATCCATTTCCTTGGTGTTGCTGGACTAGCAAATCAGCCTTAAGGGTGCACAGAGCAGGTAGAAACTCTAGGAAACCCTTTACCCTGAGAATGAAAGTATCACTGGTTTGAAATGGGTTTGGCGGCTGAGCACTGACACTCACGTCAGGATGTGTAGGGGCGTGTGCCTGCCCTTCTCACCAAGTGACAAAAGACTGTAACCACATCTTCCCACGGTCTGTTCATCAGAGACTGGGCAGGAAGAGCCTGGGTTTGACCTCCAGGATGCAACCCTGATGTTCTTAGAGAAACAGACACTACGCAAGCCTAGTGAGAGAGAGAAGGAAAAGGAAGAAACAAAAACACAGAGAAAAGGAGAGGATGAGATGGAAAACTCTAGAATCAAATGCCAAACAGTAATATAGAGACCCCAAGGAATATTTCTCAGGCCCTCCAGGAATGCCATGTTGCCTTCCAGGCATCCACGTAGAAGTGCCAGGTCAGGTGTCCCTGTCCTTCTCATCGCTCCCTTGTCCAGCCTCCCCTTGCATGGTGCCATTCAGTCTCTTGCTACTGCCCCGAGTTACCCTCTTTGGAGAGCACTGGCTGGACAGTGCGACCAGCTGCCGTGCTGTGACCACTGCAAGTGGTGGGAAGCTGGCCGCTCCACCACCCAGCCCTCACCGCGTCCTGCGGGCTCTCTGCAGTTCTCTTCAGCGCCTGCTCTGACAGGCCGAGGGGCAGAGCGGTCTGCAGTGTGAGCAGACATCCAACAGACAGACACCGGCCCACACACATACTTGGCTCTCCTGGGTGCTCACACCCAAATCCTTCCTCTATAGGAGGGTGAGGAATCCCCTCTCCTCTCAAATAGGCCTCCCATGAAGACCACAGCTGAGACGCTCCTTAGCACTGCCACGCAGCTGTCGCTGTGGCCTGGGCGGGTTGAGGTTAGGCCAGCTCTGGGCCACCTCGTTAAGCCCCAGGGGAGGGGTCTGGTCCCAACTGTGGGTAGCTCTCTTTAGAACCTAGTTGTCCTTGGATTTGGGCCCCAGACTCCCATTCAACGTGTGTTACACAGACACAGCAGGCTGGGGGCGATGGCAATAGGATGTGTGCCACGCCCAGCATGGGCCTGCTGGGAAGTAGAGGTGGAGGCTGAGGAGGACAAAACAGTGAGGAACAAATCAGTCCCTCAGAAAGGGCTCCACAAAACAAGCTCAAGGGCAAGGTTCCTCTCTTTCCTGAGGACCTCAGCCTGGCAGGGGCAAGCTTGGCAGGTCCCAGGGGTGCAGCAACTTGGCGCCCAGCCCTGGGGTGACCACCCCTCCTGCTGCCCAAGCCACCGGCACAAGAAGCCAGGCACCTGTCCCTCTGAGCCCAGGGGACTGCCCCCCACACTGGGAAAACCATGACTGCCATTAGGTGCTTTTAGTTCAGAGGAGTCTTTTTCCTGTGAATAGAGAATTTCTAAACCTGAGCAGAGGGTCGAGAAAGGCAGGGAAGTTGCCTCTGAGTAGGATACACTCTCCTTCCTGCACCCAGCAGGGTGAGCTGAGCAAGAGGCAGGACTGTCAGCATGATCCCATGCCCAGGGCTTTTTTGCCTCAAACAGCCACCTGCAAGGCCTTATGAACACATCCAAATGTAAGGTGATGCCTTTTGTTTCTTTGGGCAGCTGGAGGAAAAGAAACCAGGCGAGAAGCTCTGCTTCTGTCCACCCAAGTTAGGGGCAGGTCAAAGCCAGACATGGCCTGCTCTTCCAGACATCGTGCACCTGCAGACTGCGTCTACCTGGATTTCACACACGTGAACAGCAGCTTGCTTTCTGAAAGTTAATTATCTGATTATTAATTAAACATCAGAGAATATGCCCAAGCTGCTGTTGAACTGTGGTCTGGGGGCAGAGTGGGGAGCTTCGTTCCTTTTTCCTGGCCCTGAACAGGCACCACGTGCTGGGCCACAGTAACCAGGAGCCGGGCAGGGTTTCTGCATGGCTGTGGGCTCCCTGGGCCAGAGCTCACCTGTGGTACCTGCATAAAATGCAGAGGGCCACATACCTGTATCATGGGGTTTTTGTAAAGTTTAGATGAGATGATAATTGTGAAAGCTTTACATAAGCATGAAACACAACAGATGATTTTTAATGTGGGTGAGGATCTCTTCAGGGAAGTTGGAAGGAAGGCAAAGAAAAGTCTTATTGACTGTGCACTTACTATGTTCCCTAGCTAACTTGTCCTCATGTCTAAGGTGGAACGTTGCTCGATGGCCCAGCCCTGAACGCTGCCTCTCCAAGCCCCGCCCAGTGCGGAACGACCTCCAGGGGGAGCTCTGCCATCCCAGCTGCTGCCAGAAATGGCAATGGCCCTGCAGCAGAGGTGGCAAGGGCCCAGCGGAGTGGTCAAAGCCTGGTCTCCCTGCATTAGAATCGGGCAGCATCCTCCGTCTGTGTGGATTTAGTTGTTCCCTCAAACGGGAGGTCTTCTTGCAGTGTTGGTCTCTTCTGCTGCAGAACTAGTATGAGAGCCAGTATCTAAATCCAGTAGTCCCTGCATGGTTGACCTGTGCTTTCTCCACGCCTGTGCCTCCGCATACTTGTCCAAGGCTGGGACTCTCCCAAGGGCACGGCCTGGTCACACAACGACACAGCCCCAGGGGTGGAAGACACGCAGACACTGTGAAACGTGGATGACAATGTGGAAACCCTGAGAGTTCTGCCTCCTGGGACCACACAGAAGCTCCGTCCCCAAGAGTTCTTCTGCCTGGGAACACAGAGCCCAGAGACACTCGTGCTCTGCACACCTGATACCATTCCACAAATGACAAACCCACTGCAGCAATGCCATGGCCACCTAAACAAGAGCTTCCTCTGCCCTTCCCAACCTCTTGGCAAAATGGCAGAGACTTTCCTGCAGGACTCAGGCTGTTGCTAGGACATCTACCTGGATTTAACATAAAGAGGAGCAACATGGACACCCTCTCCCACAAAACAAGCAAACCAGATAAAAATCAATCGCAAAAAGTGTTTTCTTCTAGGTGCTTTAGTGGACCCGCTAATATGACATCCATTTAAGAATTCTTATGTAGTATACCATCTGATATAGTTTAGATTTTTGGAACCATATTAATATTCTACATGCTCAAAATGAAACAAAATCAAATCAACAAGGATGAGAGGTAAAAATTAAAATAGAATGCAAAGAGCAACAAATTAACAT